GTAGTGGAAGCCTTGGCTATAGGTGAACATGCAGGAGACAGTGTGGGGAGGTCTGAGAATAAGCCAATAAAGAGATGGTCTCAAGGAGAATCAACTCAGAATCATGTTTCGGTAGACGAGGAACGAGTCTGTCTAGCATGGGAGTTCAACAGTGTTGGGCGTTGTTGTGGATGCTTTGATGTCCTCCCTCTCCCCATTTCAGCAATAAACTACTATTCTACCAATTGTTGGAATACCTCCCAAAGATGAGTTCCTGCTTTTGGCCCTACTTGGGGGCTCCCCACCTGAAGAACACTACCTGGGTCTCACTTCCTTCCAGGGGTGGCCCCTATCCACTGACCAACACAGTGGGATAAAGGCCTAGCTTCCTTGTACCACTTGGGACAACTCTGCAGGGCCACCGTAGCTCCAAGTTTCCCTGTGGAGTTGGCTGAGACCCAAGTTGGAGTGCATTACAGTTCAGCTTCTCCCTCTGCCCCATCCAGCTTCCTTCTTCTGCCTTCTGTAGGCACTGAACCTAAGTGTGATCCCAAATAGACATCCTGCTGACTCACCTTCATTTCAGCAACTGTGTCTCAGGGAGCCCAGCATGTGACAGAACCTTATTCCTCATGTCTTCTGTCCTATGACATTGCTGTTCAACGGTAAGCAGGACTAGACCAACCCATTCATTCATCAGATCCTAAAACAAACTGGTGGTAGGGGTGGTGGCAGTGGGTGGGGGGTGGGGTGGGGGTGAAAACCAAGACTCTAACATCTTATTGACTGAATAAAGCTTTATTTTAATGCAAAATAAAACAAGAAAATTTTGTATATTCATATATAACAACATCCAAATTTTTTCCCCCCTGTGGTACAAATGGATTCATTTTAAAAAGTCTGTAAAGAATTTTAATCTCCACCCCCATATGCCAAAATATGATTCACATATTTTATATTCAGAACAGACTTGGTATCACAGAAGCACAGGAAAACACTAGAAAAAGTGACTGCATCAACAGCAGATTTTGTTTTTATGTTCCAGTAGTAAACAGCACTGCAGTCAGCATAGATGGAACAGAACTCTCTCAAAGAGCTGAGTCAGGACAGTCTGGGGTTAGTTCACTCTCCACTCGGTTTCTAGTTAAGCCCATCTCTGTAAGTCAGGCAGTGAGTGATTCTATTACTATTTAAGTCAGGAGAGAGAGAAAGTTTCACTTAGAAGTTGTAGCTGTATGTGAGAGTCTAGGCTTATTTTAGACATCTAACTTTCATTCTTCTTTTTATCGGAAAGGTGACTTCGTAGGGGTATCTTATGGAGAATCGTCTTTGTGGTCTCATTGTGGCATCATTTCTACCTAAGTCAGTGTGAACTGGGAGTGTAGATAGTCCTGTATGCTGTTTCTGAACCTGACTCCCTCCTGCCTAATTGTACTAAATCTGGATTTTTCTGTTGTACATGGATTCAGAAAGCAGTAGGTGTCCACCTGATTTAGCATCAATTGGAAGGCCATTCATTGTGGATTTTAGAGTTTAATGCTGACAGGGATTTTAAGGACACACATTCCTTCCACACCAAAGTCTCCAGATCTCTTTATCCGCCTGAACTGCTAAGATGTTCCTCCGAAGAAAATACACGTGGTGGTTACAGGTTAAGAGGATAAATGCTCTTAAGGGCTTGATCTCTACGCCTATGAATCCTAGGCATGACAACTCCAAAAGTTGCCAGGTAGACTTCCTTCAAAAAATAGTTTACTCAAGAAATTCATGAATCTTTGGAAAAAATAATGAACCATGTTTTAATTTTATTGACTTTGGTGGCAAAAATAAAGCTACAGTGAAGTCTCTTCTACAAGGCAGTAGTGACTGTGGGTCTATGGATCTTGCCATGCTTTCGATTATAGGATCTTTGCTCCATGATGTCCTATGCGGGGGTGGGGGGTTTAATGCATACAGACCAAAAAAAAAAAAAAATCTAAGAATAATTAGCTTCACAGTCATTTTTTTCCAGTCTTTGTTCGTTACTCAATTGTAATTTAAGTAATTCCTTTAAACTTGCCTTTCATCCACTGATTTGATATAGTGGGGGAGCAATTATTGCACCAAGAGTGATACTACCACAGCCAATGACATGACAGGATAATGTAATGATGTGTTTCTCTCCTTGGCAGAGGACTAAATTCTCTTGTATCTAAAATATTTTCAGTGGTTTTCTCCCTTTCATCGCTCTACTCCAGTAAAGAGGGACAAAAACAGAGCCCTTCCAAATATCTAGTGATTTGAAGCCAAAACATCATTTCAAGGCATAAATGATCCAGCAGTCAGATCATGAGTCAGGTGGGTGTATGTTGATGGATTTGCAGCTCCCTGTGCCATCATTCCTGGGGTTGGTTTCTCTCTCTCTCTCTTTCTTTGATGGTATTAGTGTTGTGAGCTACAAGGAGACACCTGGTTGAGTTTTTCCAAGGCCCTAAATAAACTGGGAATTATTTTCTGCTACTGGATGCCTACTGATTATACCCTGGTCTTCTAAATACTCTAAAAACCTATTCTCTTAAATATTGGAGAAATCTGTAACCTCTGGGTGGTGAGGGTTGGTACAAAGGCATTTATAAACCTTACATTCAAGCTGCTCTTAATTGCTGCTTGGCTTGACGGGGCCTCTGTTGTACACATAATGTTGGGTTCTTTCGGGCAGGGTCAACGGGGCATGTGTTATGCTTCAGGCAAGAAGAGAAAACTGCTATCATCATTTTGTGGTCCACCTTAATAGTACCTTCACATCACTGGCTGCCTCTCAGGATTAGCAGCTGTTTTACTGTGTATACAACACAAAACCACGCTTGGAGCAACTTACCCTGAGCCTGCCTGCAGCGGGTATTGTGCTCACAAGGTGGCAACGTGGTGAAAATATGGGCTTTCTTCCTACAAGGGCCACTCCTCCAAAGTACAGAGGATTTCTCTTCACACTACTTCCCTTGGGCCACCTCTTGTGAGCCGTGGTCTTAGTCCAGAAGCAGCCTTCTGGCTGGTCTATGTCCTATAGTCCACAGCATTTGGTAAAACTATGGGACATACAGAAGAGCTGGTTTTCAATGCTTCAAACCAAGTTGCATTATCCACCCCTTATCACTTTCTTCTTGAAAGTTGATTTAGATTGAGGGGAAAGTGACATTCAGCATGTGGGCAGGGAAGCCCTACAGCTCATCTGCAGTCCAGGTAAGCAGGGCTGGAGATCCTCACCCTCTTTGCACAAATTGCAAAGGATCTAAAGGCTTAAGAGAAACGAGAGAGGGCAAAAAACCCCATTTAACGTCTATTCTCAAGAGGGCCTAAGTAATTGTAGTTTAGAAAATGATACCTCATAAAGTCCAGTAAGTAACACAATTTAAGTCTATAACCAGCAGTTGCATCATTCTTGGTCTCATAACTCTATTTTAAGTTAAAAAAAAAAAAAAGACTAAACTGGGCTAAATGGATATTCTATATATTCAATACTATAATTTATTAAATCCTATCAGTCAGAGATATTCTAATATATCAACCAAAATACCTCTAAATTGAACTCAAGACACTTGTATTTTGGGGAGGGAATAAAGAAGGAATGTGAAAATGCCTAAAGTATGTTGCTGCTCCCAGGTTTGACCGTTGCTCAATCTTTTGTTTGCATTCTCATTTGGGTCAAGTTGCAACTTTTAGATGTTCTGTTGGGGAAAAAAAGGAAAAATAGCTGCAAAGCTCAAAAGCAATTGGGATGGGTTTCGGAGGTGGGGTTCAGCTTTTCAAAAACATAGAACTTCATTTCCCAATCGGCCATCCTGGCCTTGGTCTTGTCCTGACTATTGTGAATGACATCTAGCAAATAGTGATTGACCTCGTTTTATGTGTCTTCTCCCTTCCCATCCCTTCTGTTTTCTTTTTTTCCTTTATTATTCCCTCATCACATTTTCCAAAAAGCATTTTTATCTTCTATTCTCCATACTGCTAATCACACACTTGCACTCACGCACACACATACACACACATGGGTCAGCTACCACCATCCACTACCTGCTGGTTCTCAATCTCCGAAGGCCACAGCCAGCCCTCCCTGTCCCTGGGGTCCAGATGGCGTTGTTTGGCACTGAGTCTGGAATTGGCACATCCAGGGCATTGCTTCCCCTGTGGCCTAGTCCTTGGGCCCTCTTTTTCTCAAGTACATTCTAGCCCTCCAATGGGAGGCTTAAGGCAGAGGCTCCAGTTCTAATAATCACAGGCAGGAGACCGCAGGTGACTCTGAGACCACATGTCCCCATGCCATTGTGCCTGGGACATGGGAGGAAGGAAGGTGAGGACCACGGCAATGTCAGCCCTCACTGTAGTTCTTGGAATAGAGTCCTTCTGGAAGCTCTGACTAGCTTTGCACATTCTCCCAGGACACTAATACTGCATTTGCATCTTATTTTTATACAAAAGTGAGGAAACGTGAAACACTTATACCAAATGCATGGTACCAGGAACCTGAGAAATTCTACAAGTGAAGAGATGCAGTCTTCCTCTGGGTCGAAAATGTTCCAAGGAGAGCACAAGTCAAGCTTGCTGTTTCCTTTTTCATTGAAAAACTACTCGCTTAAGATGCCCATGTTTGTAGCCACTCCTCCGACCTAACACAGTGGTTGAGGCTTAGCTTCTGAATGGAGACGATCCAGGGCAGCGGCTGCTTCACGCTGCCAACACTGTGGGCTGGGCATACAGGGAGGCAGCACGGAGGGTACCTCTTGTGCGATTTGCTTGTTCAAATGCCACTCTCGTGGGCATTAACCGTCCTAAAAGTACTTCAAATATCAGGCAGTATTGTTTTTATGGCCCATCCTTCCTCTTTCTCCTGACTTTCCCCCTCCAAAAACTCCTGTTCCTTCTTCTTCTCTCTAATTAGCAATCAGGTGTGACATTCTCAATAAAAAAAACCCCCTAAAAGGCCTGGAGGAAGGGTGAGGTCAGCTGTCTTCCTTTCTGGGCTGTGCTGGGCTTGGTGGTGTTGGCTACACGGCTGCAGTCATGGGGTTCTTCTGCCGGGGGTCCTGGGTCCTGTAGGGGTACTGGTCTGGGCTGCCCCCTCGGGGCCCTGGCCTGCCCATTTCCTGATAGGCTGGCACCCTGTGGTGCTGAGGGGGCGAGGGCGGGACATCTTGTCGGAAGGGTCCTTTGTGCTGGGGGGCGGGGGGCGGTGGGTAGTACTGTGGATACCGGAGATCTGCCACCCTCAGGTCCGGGGGCCGGGCATAGCTCCCTTTGGGCGGGTGCAGGGGGTGAGGCCCTGGGTAGTAGGGGAGCTCCCTTTCCTTGTAGAGCCCTCGGGGTGCTGCTGTCAGGTAGTCTGCGGGATCGGCCGGTCCTCCCCTGGGAAGAGAAAAGCAGACAGAGGTCAGTAGTTGCTAGGCTGCTGCCCCACTGAAGAGACATTCCCCATTATGTGTACACAGAGGCCCCGCCGAGCCGAGCGGCAATGAGAGCGCCTTGAAGGTAAGCTTTGGACAAGCCTGGGCACCAGCCCCCTTCTGTCACACCCACAGGCTGAGAGCTTTCCCCGGAATTTAGGAGAACAGGCGGGGGTGGCAATGGGAGGTGACCTGTGCCCTTAACCAGAAGAGAGGGAACCTTCTTTTTCCCGTGTCTCCTTCCTGGTGGCCAGGGCAGTGGCCATCGTAGACCACAAGGAGAAAGCTACGGGCTGAGGAAGCCAGGGGCCTGGGCTCTGACACCTCAGAGCCATCACATCAGCCAGGACTGCATACACTCAGATGGGTACATGAGAGAGAAATAGGCTTCTACTTGTTTATTTTTTTAAAAATATATTTTATTGATTTTCTTCAGAGAGGAAGGGAGAGGGATAGAGAGTTAGAAACATCCATCAGCTGTCTCCTGCACACCCCCCACTGGGTATGTGCCCGCAACCAAGGTACATGCCCTCGACTGGAATCCAATCTGGGACCTTTCAGTGCTCAGGCCAATGCTCTATCCACTGAGACAAACTGGTGAGGGCCTTACTTGTTTAAATGCTCTCGGGCTAGCCTTTATCCTAGTAGCCAACTAGTTTCCTGAACAAGGCAGAGTTGGGCTCTCTAAGGCTGTGGACATTCCACCCTTTCCTTCTCTGCCCCCTTGAAGCCAGTCCCACATATGGTGGTAGGAACATAAGGCTCCCATGGCCCACACTCGCTTCTCTCCTGGGCCTTTGGTGCTCTTCCCATGGGCCACAGTCTCGGTCTACCTCTTGGGTCTTCTGTCACACCCCGTTGGGGACCAGTGTGCCCTCCTCTCTCCCCAAATCCCGAGAAAAGGTCCTAACCCAGAGCTGGGAACTGCTCTCCAAAAACGCTGATGAGAGGCATTCTCCAGCGAAGTGGAGGAGCGCCAGGCCAGGAGCAGCGTGGGAAAAGCCTGACCAGCTGTAGGTCACACAGTGTAACCAGGAGGCACACAGGAAGGTCCAGGCGAGAACAAACTCTAGCAGCCAGCGACCCTGTCTGGATCCTCCGCTAAGACAACGAGCTTCTTCTCATTCACTTGCCATTGCAGAAGCAATCCGTCTGCAAACACATGACCACATCTCACCCAGCCCGGGGCTGAACAGATGCTTCTGTTTGTGGATCTCAACTCCCATAAACCTTCTGTGGGCATGCACACCACAGCATCGCCCCAGATCCTTCTTGCTTTGTAGCCTCCCCGCTTTTACCATGTTCTTAAAGGAAAACAGTGCCATTCATAATTCATGAAAAGCTCCCCAACATCCGTGTACAGACTGGCCGAACCCTTGGAAGCTCTGGTGTGGCTGTGAGGACAGTCTGCGGTTAATCAGACACCGTCAGGGAGGGTCAGGATCACCCTGTCATCCGCAGGCCGATGTGAACACAGCCCTGGAAGCCCCTCCGATCGATGTGGGCCTGACAGGCGCGGAGCTCCGAGCCTGTGCCAGGCAGCACGTGAGCGCATTCATAAAGATGAACAATGGGGCTCTCGCTCCACTTCTCTGCGTCTTAATTTGGCTATGTATAATCATGAAAGATAGGCCTTCGAGCACGGCATAATTTAGTCCGTGAGAGTTTTCAGATAAAAAAATTAAATTGTTTACGTACAAGTTATTATAACGTCAACGGCGATGATTCAGTGCTGCAGGCTTCGCTCTGTTTGAAATGGCCCCTGACAATGCAGGCACGGACGTGCGTCTGTCACCCCAGCCAGGGGAAACTAGGGATCAGGGTTTCATCTCCCCTCTCCCGGAGAATTTTATTTTATTATTATTTTTAAATATATTTTATTAATTTTTTACAGAGAGGAAGGGAGAGGGATAGAGAGCTAGAAACATCGATGATGAGAGAAACATCGACCAGCTGCCTCCTGCACACCCCCTGCTGGGGATGTGCCCGCAACCAATGTATATGTCCTTGACGGAATCGAACCTGGGACCCTTCAGTCCGCAGACCCATGCTCTATCCACTGAGCCAAACCAGTTTCAGCGAGAATTTTATTTTTGATTGAGGAAACTTCCAGCATTCACTGTATCTTTTATCATCATGCTCATTTCTATTTCCTTGGATTCATGTTGGAGATTTCAAAAAAAAAAAAAAAAAACTTAAAAAAAAAATCCTTAACCTGTGCTTTCTCTCACAATCTACTGGAGATATTTCTCCGCATGAAGTGAAACATGTGGTTTTCCTGCACTCATTCTAAGCCCCTGGGATAAATCACTGACATTTGCAACACGCAAACATTATCTGCTTTAAAATGAACACACGGCCGCGCTCCCTGCGGGCCCTCTTAGCCTGGATGTTTCCTGTTTAAGATGGAAAGAGAGAAAGGAGGAATTCCAGGCCTCGGACTTTTAGGGTCCTGTTCTCTCCCTAGAGGCTTCTCTCTTAAAACAGAACATTATAAAAGACAGGAACGCCTTGTTTTTTAATTTAAATTTTTTTTTTTTTTACTTTTTGAGAGAAAACCCAGATCAAGTGGCGACAGGGCAGAAGCCACCCTGAGAGCCACCAGGACAGTGCCCATGGGGACAGTTGCTATCTCTTCCCACACACCTCACCCCTGCAACTCCTCCACCTCTCAGGGCGGGGGCGGGGGTCCCCTGGGCAGAGGGGCAGAGTTCAAGATGCTGCCCCTCCGAGGGGAGGCTCTCGGCCTGGGAGTGTGCTCACATGCGGCAGAGACCAAGCCAGGTAGCTGTTCTTTGTCAAGAAAGGAAATCGTGGAAATGGTCTTACTCTGTAGAACTCATCACAATGGCTATGGTTTTAAATTTTTCACAGGAAAACAATGAGCTGGCCTATAAAAACACTGTTTAAGGTTCAAAGGGCGCTCGGAAGATTTGTCTTTTTTTATTGGGGGGCGGGAGGAGAGTTGCTGTTGTTTATAATAACCTTTTGCTCAAAAGTAAGCATTTTCTACAGACTTCCCCCAGAACATCAGAGAAGTGCTTTTGAATAATGTTCACACACACACACACACACACACATAAGCGTGAATGATTTTTAAACAGAAAAAACAAAACAAAAACAAAACCCTCCTCATTAACTAAGGAATTTGACAGGAAAAGGGGAGAAGAAAAGGGAGCTGAAATTTTAGCCTGTTAACCTGGAGTTTCCCTTTTCATAGTGTCTTTATTTGGGTGAAATTTCGCATTTGACGGAAAGCACAGAAACCCATCCATTCTGAGGCCTAAGAAACGCGTATCGCAGTGACCAGTGCTTTGAGTGATTCTGAGGAACTCAGCAGCAGCTTCCTCTGAAGATGGTGACGCAAACAAGGGACCAAAGAGAAGGTGTATCAGAACCTGCAGGTCCCTCATTTCCTACGTGACCTCCTGAGCTTCAACTGTAGGTGTTATTGCTTTTCCTGAAATCAATTTCCCATTGAAAACATCCCCCAGGAACCATATTTACTTAAGAGAAGAGAAACAAGCCTATGTTTGCTTTCTTTATAATACAACTCTTTGAGGAAGTTGCCATGAAAATATCTCTATTTTTAAATTTTCACTATTTACTTCTTTATTTCAGTTTTGATTAGACTCATTTTTGAGGCCAAAAGGAGTCAGATTTTGCTCTGAAAACTCACAGGAACTATCTCAGACATACGGTTGCCAATCACATAGTTGCATGCAATAATGAAAGTTGACCTTTAAATCTAAATGCGAGAAAGCTATATGATACACGCATGTGAAGAAACAATAAGGATCACTTTCTTTATAGCAGTGGTTCTCAACCTTTCTAATGCTGCGACTCTTTAATACAGTTCCTCATGTTGTGGTGACCCCCATCCATAAAATTATTTTCGTTGCTTCTTCATAACTGTAATTTTGCTACTGTTAATGAATCATAATGTAAATACCTGTGTTTTCCGATATTGAGGCCTCTGGTCTCAAATAAAAGGTCTTAGGGAGACAATGTCAAAGGTGAAAACCAGGTGCAATCATCACAGTTTCAAGTACTTGGGCCTGAGGACAGATAAATACCTTCTGCCAGTTCCCCTCTGTCACAAAGCTTCCCAACCTTTTCTCCAGCAGACCACACAAGATGGATGACCTTCATATGAACCACAAGAGAGGCAGAGGCTAGGATTATGCAAACTTCTCTACCTCCTGCTGGAACTGAATGCCTTTCCCTCCCACGCAACAAAAGGAAACAAAAACACAAGGAGATTCAAGTGAGTGGGGCAACATTATCAAAAGTGACAAATCTTTGCGATAAATAGCCTAACATGATTCATCTACCAGTATGCGTACCAAGCCCGAGTTTAAGAACCGCCGCTTCATCCAGCCAATGAGCACCCATTAGGAGGGAGGACAGGTGAAGTTGAAGAATGACAGGGGAAAAACATCTAGGGCTGAGCTGGAGGTGAGCAGGTGTGAAAATAAGATCCTCAGTAAAAAGTGTGAAAGCCATGAGGAGAAGCTCCCGAAGAGCAAAACCCTGTTCCTCTTAATTTCTGTAAAATACTACCCATGCCAACCCCTGCAAAACAAAGGTATATTTTATTGATTTTTTTTTACAGAGAGAGAGATAGAGTTAGAAACATCGATGAGAGAGAAACATTGATCAGCTGCCTCTTGCACCCCCTCCCCCCACCCCACTGGGGATGTGCCCGCAACCAAGGTACATGCCCTTGACCGGAATCGAACCCAGGACCTTTCAATCCGCAGGCTGAAGCTCTATCCACTGAGCCAAACCGGTTTTGGCTATGGGTTTCCTTTTGTGGTAATAATTGACTGTGACTGAATTCGGGGTTCAAAGGAAAGGAAGTAACATGGTGTAAAACTGCTGGTGGAAAGAGAGGTCCTTGGGTTAAGAGAGGCAGAAAGCCAACGTTACTCTCAAGTACACCACATGCAGGTGACTCCC